AAGGTGTGGCGCACCAAGAAGACCACGCCACCGGCACGCCCACTGCAGGCCTGGTGGAAGACACTGCAGCCAATGAGCCTCGTCGCTGGGGCACTCTCGTGCCTGCACTCCTGCAGAAGAACCATGCCGGGCTGGTGCTGCGCTAGTCGAGCAGCAAGAGCAATCCTGAAGGGCGAATGGCCTGAAGTTCTGAGCTGCCAGATAACTACAAGGCCATCCTCATCGGAGCTGCGGCTCTTGCGGACACCACCGCAGCGGATGATGCCGACGGAGTGACCGCAATGCAACGACTGTGTGGTTCTGTCAGTCGGGCTGCAGGCAAACCGCCTCGCCCCTCTCCACAACCAACAGAGCGCGGGACCTTCTCGAGGGGTGACGCCGTCGTGGTCCCCATCACGCTCGCAGCAATGCCCTGCCACAATCACTCCCACAGAGAGACAAGAAAGAGTGTGTGGGTGTGTGCCGAGAACACAGCGACTGTCATCGTCAGAGAAGGGCATCGTGGCACAGTCCGTCACGCGCCAGCACACAAAGAGCAACGCTCGCACCCGGCAGAGCAAAAAAAAACGAGGAGAGGAGAATGTCCCCAAGAGCAGGCAACATCTTCACACGTGGCGGGCATCGTGCAGCCGCGTCATCATTTCAGCACGGGACGTCAGCCCACGCCCCGCTGTCGCCAAGAGCATTCATGCAGACCACTGTGCAACTACTTATGTGTGTTTGCTGGAAGAGCAGAAAAGAAGAGGAGCACAGGGAGGCACATCAACACAGCAAGAGGCATAGCTGGATGGCAGCGATACATGCGGTACGGCCCCAACCTCAACAATCACGCACGGTGGCAGCAAACACATAAGCAAAAAAACAAAAACAAAAAAAAACACGGCGGCAGGGTGTGGCTGTGTGTGTGTGTGTGTGGCGCTGCGGGTGTCTGCCCGCCCTGGCCGCAATAAAAACAAAACAAGAGGGAAAGAAATGTGTGCTCCGCCCCACCGGCCCTCGTTGCACGCCCACACGTCACGGCTCCCTCAGCGCGCCGTTCGTCGCAGCCCCTCCTCATGCGTGCAGTAGGCGAGTCGCACAGGGCCGTCGTCATGAGCGTGTCAGTGGGTGTGCGGGTGGAGCAGTTGGGCGGGAAACACACGGCACCCCTCACAGGAAGAGTGCAGAAGAAACAATTAAAAGGGGTATGAGAAAAAAAAAAAAGAAAAAAAAAAAAAACGAACAGAAAAAAACCAAAAAGAAGCAAACAGGAAAACAAATTTAAAATACGCTCAAAAAAGATTTTATGAGGGAAATTTGTTCCTATGGGAATAGTATTTCTGTTCTCGGGAGGTCGCAGGTATTCCACGCGGCAGCCAGTCACTCCTCACAGAGCCGCAAACCCCCACAGTCCCAACAACAGAAGAAGCGACGGCAGCAGTCCGCTCCCACGCACAATGCCGCCGTCGCCTGTTGTTTCTCCAACGGCATGGGAGCTCGAAACTGCCGGCACTTGCTGTTCTTCACTTTTCTTTCGAGACTGCTGCAAGGCCGCTTGCTCCACTGGAGCCTCAGAGGGTGATGCAATATCTTCTTCCAAATCGGCACTCCCACCAGTAAACTTCAACGGGCGGTTGTACAGCAGGACGTTCCTCACAGTCACAGACACACCTTCGTCACCCGCTGTGTTCTCTGCATTGACTCCATCCCCTCCAATGTAGAAGTGGGAAATCCCTTTCGATTCTGTAGTTTCCAATTTACTTCGCATACTCTCACACACACGCTGACCATCGACGTACACAGAGCCCTGTTTTCCGTTCCGTAGCACGATGGCCACTTGGTATTGTCTCTGTGGATCCCAAGTGCTGCTGTGCTCCGCGGTTGTTCCGTCACTGCACAGCGCCTGCCACTTCTTTCCGCTGCCGTACGACAACTCCATAAGTTTCGTTCCTCCGTCACTGCCTGCACGCACACCCATCAATGGGACGCTGCCACTCTTCGGCTCACCGTGGATGGACACCGTCGCCACAAGAGTGAAGTTGTGGTTCGCAAAGTGGTACAGCTGATTCTCCCCCTGACTGCCAACAGGCCACTCCGCCCACGCACCACGTCCTTTAAATGTCACGCCATTTTCCGTTTTCTCCACCCCACCATCTTTATTACTTACTGTAGCGTTCACTCCGAGGTACTCGTCCCTCCATGTGTTATCAGAGAAGTTGCCGGAAAAAAAGCCAACCAGCCCATCCGTGATCTTAACAGCGCTGCAGCCATTGCCAGTTGAGGGATTCGTCGCAGCAGTTGAAGGGCACAGCTTGGAGACACGTTCGTCCACTTTCTTCCAGGTCACCAGCACCTCCTTCACCTGCTTCAGCTGCTCAGTCAGAAGCACAGAGACCATGCCGAGTGATGATGGTTTTTCCCCACCGCCCTTCTTTTTCTCGTACAGTGCAATCAACTCCTCATTATTATTATTTCCACTTCCAGCACTTTTGTACAGCAGGGAGCTGGCGGCAACGTCCTCAGCTTCCCCGGATACCGGCCCAATATCAACAATGTGCGTGTTGTCCGTCAGCCAAAGATGGAGCTCACCCTTTTCATTTTCGTTTTCGTGCTTCTTGGCATACACCGGCAGAGTGACGAGCATCACGTCCCTGTTCTCAATCGTCGCTTTGCTGAAACCGCTTCCAACGCCCCACTCATGTCGCTTTTGGTTGTTGCCCCACACGCGCGAGAGTGTCCCGAGGGCCTCCGTCCACGAATCCCCCTTGTCACCGGACTCGTACACCCTGCGGCGGCCATCATCACACGCAGTCATCATCATGAGTTTTCCCTCCTCCCACTCTACTACGGAGGGATCACTGCAGCCATCGGCAGACATCCCCTTCGACAGCTTCCAATCATTATTATCCTTGGAGGTGTATATTATCAGCGAAACATTTTTATTCTTTCCATCTTTTTCTGTGTCATCCTTCTTCACGGCTTCCAACGGGAACGCAAGCGTACCGTCCTTCATCGTAACACCCGATCCACCACCGCCAATGTGTCCTGTCAACGAGTCGTCATTTTCACCAATAACATTGCAGGGGATACTGAGGGTATTATTCCAATAAATTCTTTGGTCATTTTCCTCATTACCACTGACGTTCCCCTTCACCAGCAAAAGACCCCATGGAGCCGCGTCAGACGCATCCACTTTACAACTAGGGACATATTCATTTATGTAGACTCCAGCAAGCATGTAAATATCATTTCCCTCCACAACTGTTGTTGGTCGGCCCAAATGTACTCTTGTCCGGCTTCGGGAATCATCCTTTTTCTCTGACTGGGACTGACATTTTCCTTCTTTATCGGAAGAACATTTCTGCAGTACTTCTGTTTTCACTTGAGTTGTTTCCAGGTCTTTTGGCTTTTTGTCTCCCAACTTTATAAATTGTGAAGCAATGCAAGAAAAAATGAAACCATTACTTCTGCACTGCGCCTCGGCAACGGCAAACACGCCACCATTCAACCCAACAAGACTGGGAGCATAGAGCAAACTCACTGTTTCATCAGCTGTCGTGTCTCTCCAAACAAAAGATGGACTCGGTGAAGGTTCCTGACCTGACGCTAGCCCATCACCTTCCGCAACCAAACCAGTGCTACAGCACATCATCACGATGAGGAGCAGCAATGCGGAAGTAAACGCACGCCGGGACATGTTGGGCCTCTGCGGCTCACTCTCTCTTCCTTCCCTCCTCCTTCCGCTGGATCCGGTCACGCGGCGACGGTTGTGTGTGCGGGGTGCCTTCACTGCAGCAACACGTGAGAGCATATAAATATGTGTGTGTGGGCGGTGTGTGTGCTGTTGTTTCTTTCAGAGCCTTCGAATTTCACAGTAGCGATTAGTGCTTGTTTGCTTTCTTCGTAAGAGAGTGAAAGAAATAAAGAAAAACAGGCTAATAAAAAGGGATGAAAGAATAAGCACCGCCACCCACAGTGAGTGGCACCATCATCCCCGCCGCAGTCACTCCCAACAACAACAACTCACGCACACAGACACACGGAACGAGGCGGAAGAACAGTGCACCGGAAACACACAGCGACTGCCACCACCACCAGCAGGAGTCACGGCGGGTGTGTCGTTATTCACGCGTCAGCACACACCGAGCGACGCCCACACGATAACAACCAGCGGGACGCAAAAGAGCACAACCGCCCTTCGCAGCAATACAGCGCTGTCGCCGGTCATGTTACTGTTGGTTCCTCCAGCACACCCGCTTCTCCGTCCGTGCACATCACCCCGCACAGGCGAAGAATCTTTCGTCGCCAAATTCACGGCGGCAGTGACACTTCGGCACGTACAGTTGTTGGAAGAGAGTCAACAGACATTCATCCCAGGCACCCTCAATGCCACACAATCCACTTTCTGCACGCCGCCAAAATAACAACCGCATTACCTCGCCGGGACGCGTTGCGGACTCACGTCTTCCCTCCCCGCGAGGGCCGCTGATGCCAGAATAATGTGCGTGTGTGTTTGTCAGCACCTATACTTGCAGAGCAGCTGTGAGGCACAAGAGAGTCAGAAGAAAGCAACGGCAGAGAGAGGCAGATAGCACACACGCAAATTCCTCATATCATCACACAAACACACGCAGAATGGGTGCACTCAACCACAAAACAATGAAAAACAAAACAAAAAGCCGAAGCGTGGGACGACCAGCGCACACACTCTCATTGCTCCCGTAAAGCAACACACAAACAGGGAGAGAGAGAGAGAGGTCGCCCACTCAATGCAATGGAAACAAAACAAAAACAGTTACGGTGCTCCGCCCATGCAGCCAGGCAGGACGGCAGCGGTGCGTGTGGTGCAAAAGAGAGCACCAACGGGCCTGCATGGGTGTGCATGCATATATACAATGGGCACATTATGTGTGTGCTTCGTGGGGTGAGGTGAGGGCGAGAGTCCATGCAAGGGGACACACACACACAGAGTGAAGGACGAGTGTGTGTGCGGGCGGTGCACGGCTCTCTCTCCCTCACTCTCACGCGGCCACCACCACAGCTGCAGCCGCACACGCAACAACAAGAAGAAGCAAAAGAGGGGAGGTGGTGTGGGAAACCGCGGTGCTGCCGTCACTGTCGCCAGGCGTCGCCGTACCATTTATCCGGGCGGTGATTGTTTTTGCTGTTTGTGGTGCTGTCTCACTGAGTGTTGGAACAACGTTGGTATTGCCAGTTTCAAGGCTGTCGTGTTGTCCTTCAGAGCTTTGAGCATCATCCTCATCTGCCTTATTCTGGAAATGATCACCGCTGCCACTTGTAGAGGTAGATGAGGATGTTGGTTCTGCTGGACTGCCGGCTGCTGCATTCTTCGTCGAATCCTCTGTGTCCGTGTCATGACTGTGCTGCCCTTGTGTAGCATCCCCTGAAGGCTGTTCCGGTGCTTCGGATTCCATTTTGGGTCCTGACGGCGTGGCTTCGTTCGTTACTTTTTTTTGATTCTGTGAGTTTTTTGGTTCCGTTGGTGGGCTTCCTTCACCTGTTGTTGATGATGGTGCAGGTACACCCGATGGCGGTAGTGGCAGTGGTAGTGCGGGTAATGATGGTGGTGGTGTTCCTCCTCCATTATGTTGACCCTCTTGTGTCTCGGGCTGTAATGTGTTTTTTTCTTGTTTTTTTCCCTTGTCTTTGTCCCCATCCTCTTCCTCTACCGCTTCATCACTTCCATTTTTATCCTGACGATCGGCATCTCCCTTTGTCTCCGTGCCCTTGGGCAATTGGTTAATTTCATCAGTATCCTTGGAAGAGGGGTTTTCACCAGAACGAGTGGGACTGCTGCCAGATGGAGAGGACAATTGATCGTTGGTTTGTTCTTGGGGGTCAGCTGCCGCATTGCTGCCGGGATTCACTTTATTTTTTTCATTCCATTTTTGATCAGCCGCAGGTAACTGCCCGCCTTCATCACCTGTCCCTGACACTCCAGGCCCAGACACCGGCAGGGATGGTGTTGCTGCACCTGCGGCACCATTCCCTCCTCCTGCACCAGGCGCTGCATTGCCCCCAATACCAGCCAGCAGACTACCAGGCGATGTTCCTCCCACACTGTCCAATGGGGCATTACTAGTTCCACCTTCACTGCCGTCTCCAGCTGCAACCGCATTTATTAATCCCATTCGGGTGGAAATCAACCCGCAACCCGCCTTCAGGCGCACCCTATCATTTCCTCCATTATGCGTGTGCGTCAAGACGTTCCCATCACCCTCAACGCAGCGATCGTCCCTTGCAATTCCAAAAACAGTGACGCACCACAGCACGCAGAGGGCACACACCAGCAGCACACGGCCAGTCATCATCATCGCCATCACTCCTGTCACTTGCGTGTAGCCTTCAGCACAAACTGACTCCCCGTCAACGGAGAGTGAAAGAAAAAAGAGAGACAAGGCATAACAACAGTCACGCCACAGCAACAAATGGCGGCCCAGAAGCAGCAACAAACACACCATGAGGCAGTTGGAATCAGTGAAAAGGCAAAAAAGGCACACAAACACAGTCCTGCAGCAATTAATCAGCAAGAAAAAAAGAAAAACAAAACAATTAAAAACACAAGTAAAAAAAGAAACAAAAAGATTTAATAAAAGGGGCTGCACAGTATGGCGCCAGTGTGCATGCATCCACATGCAAACATGCGTCTACGTAAAAATTTGTATGCGTGTCGTGCATATAAGTGTGTCTGCGATGCGTTCAACGTGACGGATACAGGGAGGCAACAAGATGGAGCACACAGCAGGGCAGCGGAAGCAAATGAAGCAAAACACAATCATTATTTTCTCTTATTTATTTACATCGGACCACAGTTGACCGACACAAATCCCCGTGGCTGAGTGCTGGCACGCACAGCCCGCATACACCTCTTCAGCCCAGAGTGGTGTACGCCAGCGCGGATGCGGCGAGCAGCAGCGGGGCACACACCCACGCAGAGCTGCTGAGGCTGCCGTCCATTTCACGAAGACGTGACGGTGTGCGGGTGGTCGTCGTGGTTGGCGCCTCTGTGTTCCTCGCCGTATCACTTGGTGCCTCTGTGGTAGTGGTGGTGGTTGTCGTGGTTGTCGTAGTACTTGGTGCCTCTGTGGTGGTGGTGGTCGTCGTCGCTGTTGTAGTGGTTGTCGTGGTCGTAGTTGGTGCGGCGGCCTTCTTTTGTTCATTTGCCATAACGGTATTCGTATGTTCTGTCTGCTTATTAGACTTCCCACCATCTTGACCCTGTGTATTACTGGAAGTATTTTGTGACTGTGGCTTTTCGGTTATTGTACCCGTTGTATGTGACTGTTCCGTCCCTCCCACTTCATCGTTTATTCTCTGGTGGAGAAGGAGTTGTACTTAGCGGATCCGTTACCTGCTTTGGGTCGACAGGCATAGAATTTGTTGGAACGGAATCTTTTACAGATTTACCAGTTGCAACTTCACTCCCTGCCGCGCACACGGACGGGCAGCAGCACAGGACGAGCACCAGCAGGGCGCACAGCAGACGGCACGTCGTCATCGTGAGTGTGGTCGTTCAGTGGTGTGGAGCTGATCTGCACAGTGAGGGACATGAAGAGCAACAGGGGAGACGAGAGGTGCGGCAGACACACACACAGAGGGCACACCACATGAGGAGAGGGCGGCAGCCAGGCATGCACCGTACGCCGCACACCACGCACGACACACACTCCAACCCACGGCAACAGGCACACACACACAGCCCTGCCGCAACACCAACACACAGATGTAGGAGGGAGAAGCAAACAGGAGCGGCACACAAGGCTCCACCGCATGCACATACGGCGAGAGCGGTCCGTCGTGTCGGCACCCCTCACGGAGGGTACGCACACGCACAAGAGGAGGTGCAGCGCCCACAGCAACACAAAAGCAAAGTAACAATTAAAAAGGAATGATCCCCGCACACCACGTGGATCGCTGGTCCACGGGAAGTGCAGCCAATATTCATCACAAAAACAATTCAGTTACCTTTGGTCTTCCTTCATATTCAGCGCACAACGCTTCATGCAGGCCTGGGCACCACAGCAGCAGCAGCAAATGCAAATATAAGCGCAAGGAATGGCATAAAGCAAGCAACCATTTATTTGTGTTTCTGTTTGGATGTTGGCAGATGTCTGCATGCGTTGTTTTTGTCTTTTCAGAGAGCAAACCTTCATGCCTGCATTGTGTGTTGGGGATTTCCGCAGGGTGCACAATTATTATTTTTCTTTCCTCTTGTGAATGTTTCTTGTGTTGGTGCAGCCAACAATTCGGTTTGTGTTGTTCCTGCTTCTCTTTGATAAGGTGTTACAATAAAAAATAATCTTCTGAGCCGCTGCCCGAATCCTGAGTTTCTCAATAATAGAAACCAAACAAGATAGAAATAAGTGAGGGATCAACGGAATAAGAGTGGATTCACCACATCCTCAAAGTTCAACACGAGGCAAATAAACGCATGTTTATATATACATACCATCCGTTAGCCACAATCGTGGCCCGCTCACTCTATTCGGATAGGATACATATATTTATTTATTACTTACGACGTGGCAGACTTTTGGGGTCCTGCAGCCACAAGACCCCGCCGCGTGGTGGGAACCAAAAGGGGGTGGGTGCGATGGTAAAAACAAAAATAAAAAATTATCCGGCCGCTGTCGGCTCCCTAAAGTCGTGGCCTCCCCAAAACTCATACGGTAGAAAAGTGTCCTAAAGAAGTGTATATTCGTTCTATCAGGGTATATATATATATATATATACATTCATTAAGGCAGCCAGCTCTCCCGCGACCATTCTCTACACAGGCTCCTAAAAAAACTCAAGCACACCCACAAGACTCCCAGCAAGAAAAGGTACACACGGCGTGACTGACACGACTCAGAGTCATGTTTCTAAGACAATGCGTGGATGACTCCGTCGACGCCACACCCGCACCATATGCCATCAACTCCTCCACGGCAATAATCCTGCAGCGTGCGGAGAGGACGTTTCACGAGCGCATTATTGGCGGAGCCAAGCAACTGTACCGTCAGCAGATGGCAGCTGTCGGCGGGGAAAGTGAAGGTGGTGGGACTGTTGGGGAGGGTCGATGCGCAGTGTCCCCACAAATACGAGGCGGGTGAAGTGAAACACACTCGTCTGAACGTCACCGGCCACCAAGATGCATTGCTCCCTGCTGTAAATATTGATGAGCTCGAGGCTGGAGCAACTACTCGCAATGCGTGAAAGCGTCTTCCTGCACTGACGCTGCGATTCACATTAGACGGGCAACTTCAGAACAGTCGATCCCCAGCAGTGAAATGCAGGTGGCAGTGACGCTGTGGATTCTCGATTCCCCAGGCAACGAAGTGTGAAGAAGAAAACTGGTCTCCCCAGCTGCGCGGCATCCATCCATTCACTCTGTGCGTCCGGAGTGCCTCGCAGCTGCCTTGAGAGATGCAGCGGACAGACCTCCCTTATTTTCTCCTCGATCCGTCAACGAAGTCTTTCGCGGAGGCGTCGGCACACACCGAAGTCTCCCTCGTGCCCGCCAAACAAAAACACACCCGTTGAGCATCGTCACGTGCATCGACGGCCACGCAAATAAATATCCACCGCAACGCAAAGTGTTTCTTATTGGGCACAAAAAGAAAACTGGAGGCGGCGGCCTGGACAACACAGAAATCAAATCACACTCCAGTCAACGCTGAAATACATGCAAAAGGACCAACGCAGGACCAGAAGCACAAACACTCGAGACCTGCTGCGTGAACTCCACGGTAAATGGATCAGCCTCAACGCATGGGGCACTAATTACGGCGGGTGACAGCGCGAAGGCCAACGGTTCCGCAAGGCCGGGAATTGTGGGGACGGCATTCAAACCCTCCTGGGATTCGTGTGCCAAGACACGCAAATAATCCGCCCCTCGGTGCAAGTCGTCACCATAATCCTCATCGCTCTCTTTGCCGTCATTCGTATTGTCACACTCAGAGCCGTTGAGGGAAGATGCTGCCATGATGATTGTGAAATCACACTGAATGAAACAACGCAATGCCTCGAAGGGTGCCGAGTGCAGGCATCCCGTCAGGCAGCGACACGCCGCAATCTTAGCAATGTACGAAGCAAAGGCAACGAAAAAGCTTTCATCCGCCATCGTAATCGCGTCCAGCAGGTTCGCCCTCTTGTTCCTCGGCGCCTCGTCCCTCTCCAAGACACCAGCTGCCGCTGCCGTAGACCACGCTGCTGCTGCTGCAATCACCTCCACAAAGAGACAAGGAAGAGTGTGTGGATGTGTGTGCCGAGAGCACAGCGACTGCCATCGCCAGAGGAGACCATCGTGGCACCGTCCGTCACGCGCCAGCACACACCGAGCAAAGCACACTCGGCAGTGCAAATACATTCTTGCAGAGCACTGTGCAACTACTTATGTGTGTGGGTGTCTGTTGGAGAAGCTGAAAAGAGAAGGAGCACAGGGAGGCACATCAGGACGGCAAGAGGCACAGCTGGATGGCAGCGGTACATGCGGTGCGGCCCAAACCTCAACAATCACACACGGTGGCAGCACACCATCCACAAAAAAAAAAAAGAAGAACAAAAAAAAAAAGAAAACAACACGGCGGCAGGGTGTGCTGTGTGTGTGTGTGTGTGGCGCTGCGGGTGTCTGCCCGCCCTGGCCGCAAAGAAAACAAAACAAGAGGGAAAGAAATGTGTGCTCCGCCCCACAGGCCCTCGTCGCACGCCCACACGTCACGGCTTCCTCAGTGCACCGTTCGTCGCGGCCCCTCCTCATGCGTGCAGCAGGCGAGGCGCACAGGGCCGTCGTCATGAGCGTGTCGGTGGGTGTGCGAGTGGAGCAGTTGGGCGGAAACACACGGCACCCCTCACAGGAAGAGTGCAGCAAGAAACAATTAAAAGAGGGAAGAGTAGAAAAGAAAAAAACGTCCATATTGATTGCCCCAAAAGCAAAAAAGGAGGGATGTGTGGAGTGAAAGATGAGTAAACAAAAAAAAAAAATTTAAATAAAATAAACCATTAAAAAATGAAATAAACTCACAACGCCCCGAAGGAAGCAAAAAACAAGCAAAATGAACACAAAAAACAAGTAACAACAAAACAACAACAAAAAGATAGAATGCAAAAAAAAAAAAAAGTAAAAATTACAAAAAACAAAACACAAGGAGCTGCGACGAATGGCTCCAGTGTGCACCCATTCACACACAACATTGGGTCCACTCAAACAGTTGTGGGCGTGTCGTGCATACAAGTGTGTCTGGGATGCGTGCCAAGTGACGGATACAGGGGTCAACAACATGGAGCACAAAGCAGCGCAGCTGAAGCAAATGGAGCAGAACAGAAGATCATTATTTTCTCTTATTTATTACGCAATAAAACAAAAGAAGCGCAAAGCATCCCGTGGTTGAGTGCTGGCTTTAATAGCCCGCATTCACTTCTTCAGCCCAGTGTCCCGTAGGTGAGTGCAGCCAGAACAAGCAGTGGCAGGGCATGCAGATGGGTGTCATGGAAGCAGGCGTCAGTTCCCACACTGTTCTCCAGCGCGTTCGTTGTGGGCGCAGAGGAAAGAGGAGCCGGCATGCTTGCCGCCATATTATTTCCTTCGCCGGAAGCAGTTTCGGTGGTGTCGGCTGTGTCCTCTTCGGCGCCTCCAGCTGCACCCCCGTCCTCGCCGGTCTGGGACAACTGAGTCGGTGGCGCAGCAGCAGTCTCTTCCTGCAGCTCCACTGGAGGGTCATGGGAGGAGTGTTCGCCGCCTTCTGTGGGCTTTGGATCTGGTGGGGATTCGGATGCAGCAGAAGCAGCAGAAGTAGAACGTGAAGGGCCTTGAAGCTCAGCAGAGGGAGCGGAATCCGACGCTTGCGAGGCCGCAGCAGAAGGATCCGTCGTGGCCGCAGCGCCAGCAGCAGAATTAGCACCAGCGCCGCCTGGAGTTGCAGGTAGAGAAGAAGGGGGGACATCCGTGGAATTCTCAACGACAGCAGGAGAAGATTTTGAATTTGTTGTGAAGGCGCCACGAGAAGCCTCCTTTTGTCGAGCCGCCGGAATGCCTGCTTCCGGACGTGTGGCCGGACCAATTTCACCAGCGCCACCCGGAGCTCCAGCCAGTGAAGGGGCACCAGCCGCACTCTCAGCGTCAGCAGGAGATTCAGAATCTGGTGTGGAAGTGTCAAGAGAATCATTGTCATCTGGAGGGCTCCGAGGTCCTTCCGGAGGTTTGGCTGCACCAATTGCAACGGTGGCCGCTTTCTCCACGTTACGCTCCCACCAACTCTTCAGGATGTCTGGAGTAAACGTGGAGACGTTGATCGTGATGACAGCATCCTTCACACCATCTATGGTGCGACTCTGTGAAGCCTCGGGCTCACAGTTTCCGACGCCCATGCCGCAAATCATCTGCCCAAAACCAGCAGCTGCAGTCGTGCAGTTGTACCACAATGACTTCCCACGGAGCTGCCAACGCGCAACATTACCGTCACCCGCACACTCTGCATCCACCTGCGCCACCTGCGGCTCCTCCTCCTCCACGGCAAACACGCACGAGCAGCAGCACAGCAGTGCCAGCACCAACACGACACAAAACACACGGTGCATCATCGTCAAAACTATCGTTGTTGAATAACGTGGATTCGATCTGCAGGAGCATGAGAAAGGAAGTAGAGAGAGACAGCAGCTACACCACGCACAGCCACCGCATGGTAATAAATGGCAGCAGCCAGAAGAAGCGCACACCAAAAAAGAGACAAATGGGACAATTACAACCGCAGAACTCCCACACCGACCCGTAAACCAGAACTTTAAAAAGCGGAAAAAACAAAAAAAGGAAAAAAAAATGATAGGAGTCCAACAAAACTCCCAAAACTTCTAAAAAAATCAATCGGGCAGCACTCTTATTTCTTATGCCAAGCAGCACAAGACAAGCGTGTGTGTCTGTATACATAATGCCTTCACCAAGAAAATAAATCAAATAAAAAAAGATCGTCCTGCTCCACCAGCCCACACAACATTCCTTCACACTTCATTGCGGCATCCGGCCTGTTCCTCCAATCCTCCTTTCGTGCAGTCCGTGGGACGCACAGCAGTGAGGCCGGCACCGCGTGTGGGCAACAAAAGACAAAACAAAGAGGAGAAACACGTCACTCATAAGAGTGTGCAGCAACTGGCCATTAAATAAAAAAGGGTGCTTATCATTCCAAGAAAAACAAAAAACAAAAGCAAAAAAAAGTAATAAAAAAGTAACACGCATGGAACGCGGCACATGTTCTCCGTGAGGAGTGGCAATTCCACACTCTTTGGCTCAGAAGACCGCCACAACTCCACACAATCCCAGAAGAAGCAGCAACACCCAATACACGCACACACGCACAGTGCCATCAACAGTTAACTCACGCAGTGTCAATTTCGCGTCGTTGAGCAGGGCAAAGCAGTCGTCGGGACACACACCGCTCCCGGAATACTGCGCGGTGAATTCTCGTAATTGGGGTTTTCGTGTCCAGAGGCATTGCGTTGAGTCAATCCGCCCGCATCACCCTCAGCAACAAATCCACTGCCCGCAACGCCATTTACTAAAGAAAGGAGTTTTGTGTCCGGTGGCGTTGCGCTCACTCACCTCGTCCGTGTTATCCGCAGCAACGTGTTCCCTGCCGCCATAAGTGACAGACATGATCCCCGATGCATTCAGCGCCACTAATATTCTCGGACCGTTGGCAAAGGAAGGCCTCTTCTTGGATGCATTCGGGACCATCACTTCTTTCGGATTGCTGGCAAACTCAGGCCTCGTCTCGGACGTGTTGGTCTCCGTGTTGGATGCGGGACTCGGATCGACGGTGTTGGGTCCGTCAGCCGCCGCAGACTGTCGCCAATCCTCGTGTTGACGTGACGGCTCAGCATTAACTTGCGGCGCAGTTGTCCCACCAGATTTTGTGTCATCCTTCCCTTCACGGGGTGGCGGCAACTCACAGATGCCCGTCCGGTCAGCATCGCTGCTCCGTGCAGGCGGATGGATGGTTCCATCGGGGGAAAAATTGACGCCACCACAATTCATAAGGGCCGGCGTATTTATGTGTCGTCACGTCCATCGTGAAGGCAACGGTGGCCTCTTCCTCTTCCGTTGCACAGCTGGCAGCACAGTTGCTACATGTGTGCACCGCATTGGCCACATGACACACAGCACCCAGCTCACCATTCCTGCCATGCATGCGCACACCAAAGCCACTGAAAGTATAATTCTCATGCTGAGCCTCAGCAACGGCAGCAGAACACTTCTTCCACGCCCACACACACACACACACATGCACGCGATAGCTCAGGCTGCCGTCACTCGGAGCACACGACACATCCACCGGCACAACCGCCGCATCCGCATCACCAGATAGATCTCCAGGACTCCCAGCAGCCGTCACACACACATGGACGAGCAGCAGCACGAGAGCCCAAGGACCAACACAGCGCACACCAACACGGCGCACACCGTTATCATCGCAGTCATCGTCACCCGTAGTGAAGTCGCTGGAGCCAGTCAGCTGATCGGTCAGACAGAAGAAAAAAGAATGGAACAAGAGGGAGAGGGACGAAGTGCAGCGGATACAGCGAGAGAGAGCAGACAACATGACGAGAGGGCAGCAGGCCCAGCCGCACAGTCCACACACCACAAGACGGCATCCACACAAGAAAGGCACACAACGCCAGCAGCCACCCACCATGCAGGAGGAGAAGGCATGCACCACCATCTCCCCCAGCTCATCTCTACAGCCCCAGGGAAATGGCAAAACCCCGCGGCCACCACACAACGCACACGGAGCGAGCACCCACCACACAACGCACACGCGCAAGCAGACCCTCATCCATCCATAACGCGGCACCAAAATTTCCAGCCATCCCGCCCTCAGTGGGACACGGAGCCCAACTCAGCGCAGTCACACGCGGTGCATTACACCCGCAGGAAAGAAGACTCGAGCTGCGCACTCCCTCTCCCTCCCTTCTCCTCATAGCCACGGAGGAAGACAACAGCCGCCACACGCAACTGCCAGCATGCACTGCAAAGGAAGCATTCAAATCCACTGCAATGTGCATCTTGTCTGTGTGTGCCTGCAGAAACACAAAGCATAAAAGTAAAAAAAAGGAAGCAGATTATGTGGAGAGACGCACAACAATGTGCATCGGAGGTGCATGGCGGAAGCAACAAGAAGAAGACCGCTCAAACTCATGACTGCACTGCCGCCCAAGTAGCGGCAATTCACACAGGATTTATCCAAAACAAAAAAAGATTTCCCCTTCATCTTACACAAACACCATCACACAAAATAATTATAAATAAAAAACGAAATCGTCCATTACTGTTCCACACAAATTTAAAAAAGCAACCAACTACCATCTTGCTCCAGAGATTGTCTGCATATTTTGCCCGTAAAATAAAATTAAAAAGATATTTAAATGTCTTTCAACCGTCTGACCCTCCATTTGTCCAAACATCGTTTATATTTCATGGGGTCATCTGCGTGTTGCTGCTCCCCTCAGCCCTCTCATCGGCGTGTGAGTGTGGCCCGCAGAGCACAGTCACTCGTGTGTGTGGGGACTGAGAGAAGCACGCAGACATGACGGCAGTCGCGTCACTCCATCGGGAGAGTGAGCGCAGCAAAAGAAAAAAAAAGGAAATCATCGGAGAGGAGAGAAATGCTCACGAGGCCGACACCGAAGGGACTGCCGGCGCGAGAAATGCACACGCAAAGAAAAAATCTTAAAAACACGGCGGCAGGGTGTGGCTGTGTGTGTGTGGCGCTGCGGGTGTCTGCCCGCCCTGACCGCAAAGAAACAAAACAAGAGGAAAAGAAATGTGTGCTCCGCCCCACAGGCCCTCGTCGCACGCCCACACGTCACGGCTCCCTCAGCGCGCCGTTCGTCGCGGCCCCTCCTCATGCGTGCAGCAGGCGAGGCGCACAGGGCCGTCGTCATGAGCGTGTCGGTGGGTGTGCGAGTGGAGCAGTTGGGCGGGAAACACACGGCACCCCTCACAGGAAGAGTGCAGAAGAAACAATTAAAAGAGGGAAGAGTAGAAAAGAAAAAAACGTCCATATTGATTGCCCCCAAAAGCAAAAAAGAAGAGATGAGGGGAATGAAAAAAAAGAAAAAAAAAAAAAAAAAAAAGAGTAAAACCAACCAAGAAGTAGCAAACAGGAAAATAAATTTAAAATACGCAAAAAAAGGATTTATGAGTGAAATTTGTTCCCATGGGGAAGTAATTCTGTGCTGAGGTGTTCCACGCAGAGGCCACACACACCTCAAGAAGCGACAATCCCCCACAATCCAAGCAGAAGGAGCAGCGGCAGCAGTCCGCCTCCGCAAACAGTGCTGCCATCACCATTTGCCCCAAAGTGGCGAGCGGTACCGACACCCGTTGCTCCTGCCGCCAATGTTTTCAGACCTGTCAGCTTTGGAATAGAAATTTTGTTTGCGTTGAGGACGCGGATCTCATTGTCATCCAACGGGCGGTTGTACAGCAGGACATTCGTCGCGGTCACAGGCACGTCTTCTTTGCTCCCTGCGCTGCCTCCATCCCCTCCAATGTAGAAGTGGGAGATTCCTTTCGAATCCGTGTTTTTCAATTCACATGACGCATCTCCCACACGCTGACCATCGACGTACGCGGAGCCCTGGCTGCCGTTCCGTAGCACAATGGCCACTTGGTGTGTTGTCTCTGGCTCCCAATTACTGCGGAGTTCCTTGGTCGTTTTGCCACCGCACAGCACCTGCCACTTCCCCTCTTTGTCGTACGACAGTCCCAGGAGCACAGTATTCTTACCGTCATTCATCGTCGCACCCATCAATGGAATGGGGGTATCTCCCTTCGGCTCACCGTGGACGGACACCGTCGCCACAAGAGTGAAGTTGTAGTTCGCAAAGTGGTACAGCTGATTCTGCCCCTGACGGCCAACGGGCCACTCCGCCCACGGTCCCCGGAACGTCACTCCATCCGCATACCCTGTTGCCAGCCCATTCGTTCCTTTCTTTACTGTGGCGTTCACCCCGAGGTACTCGTCCCTCCATGTGTTACCAGAGAAGTTGCCGGACAAAAAGCCAACCAGCCCATCCGTGATCTTATCAGTGCTGCAGGCATTCTCAGTTAAGGCACTCACCGCAGCACGTGAAGTGAGGCACAGCTTGGAGACACGTTCGTCCACTTCCTTCCAGGTCGTCAGCACCTTCTTCACCCGCTTCAGCTGCGCAGTCAGAAGCACAGAGACCATACCGTACGACGGTTCTTTTCCATCGCCTTTCTTCTTCTCGTACAGTGCAATCAACTCCTCCTCCTTCTTATTATCTCCACTTCTGTACAACAAGGAGCTGGCGGCAACTTCGTCGTTGCCGGATACCGGCCCAATATCAGCAATGTGCGTATTGTCCGTCAGCCAAAGATGGAGTTCAGCCCTTTCTTTTCCCTTTCTGTTTGAATACACCGGCAGAGTAACGAGCATCACGTCCCTGTTATCAATCGTCGCTGTGATGAACCCGCTTCCAACGCCCCACTCATGTCGCTTTTGGTCGTTGCCCCACACACGCGAAAGTGTCCCGAGTGCCTCCGTCCACGAATCCCCCTTGTCACCGGACTCGTACACCCTGCGGCGGCCATCATCACACGCAGTCATCATCATGAGTTTTCCCTCCCTCCACTCCACGACGGAGGGATCACTGCAGCCATCGGCAGACATCCCCTTCGACAGATTCCCACTCTCATTGGCTGAGGAGTACATGATCAGCGAAACGGCTTTTCCATCCTTCTTCGTGCCCTCCACGGGCAACACAAGCGCACCGTCCTTCATCTGAACACCCGATCCACCACTGCCAATCAGCCGTGTCAAGGATTCGTGTTGTTTTTCAAAATCAGTCAACGGGATAACGGAAGCGTCTTCCCAATAAATTTTTTTTTTACCGCTGCTCCCATCATTACTGACGTTTCCCACAGCCACCAAAAGTCCCCATTTAGCTGCTGCAGCTGTGCTACGAGTAGCTGCCTTATCAGTAACTTCAAAACCGTAGTCTCCAGCAAACATGTAAATATCACTCCCATTCACAACTGTTGTTGGCCGGCTCACACGTACTTTTGTCCGGCTTTGGGAAGCTTCCTGAGCTCGTGTTTGGGAGGCACAACCCTTATTTCCGGCAGGACATTCCTCCAGTACTTGTGTCTTCAGTTTAGTTGTATCCAATTCTTTTGATTCCTTATCGGTCCACTCCAGGAGCTCCGAGGCAATCCCAGTAAAATTGCTTCCTCCCTCCTTCAACTGCGCCTCGGCAACGGCAAACACACCACCATCCATCTCAACAAGAACTGGAACATGGAGCGAACTCACTGTTTCTCCTCCGTTCACATCCCTCCAAACAAAAAATGGACTCGGTGAAGATCCCTGACCTTGTGCTGCCCCTGAAACACTGTTCTCAGTGGCTGCAGCTCCACCACTGCCGCAGCACATCATCACGACGAGGAGGAGCAGCACCGCGGAAGTAAACACACGCCGGGACATGTTGGGCCTCTGCAGCTCACTCTCTCTTCCTTCCCTCCTCCTTCCGCTGGATCCGGTCACGCGGTGACGGTTGTGTGTGCGGGGTGCCTTCACTGCAGCAGCACGTGAGTGCATATAAATATTTGTGTGTGGGCGGTGTGTGTGCTGTTGGTCCTTACAGAGCCTTCGAATTTCACAGTAGCGTTTAGTACTTTCTTTCTTCGTAAGAGAGTAAAAAAAATGAAGGAAAACAGGATAATTAAAAAAAGGAGCACAACAGTAAGCATCGTCACCCATCCACAGTGAGTGGCACCATCATCCCCGCCGCAGTCACTCCCCACAACAACAACTCACGCACACAGACACACGAAAAGAGAAAGAAGAACAGTGCACCGGAAACACACAGCGATGGTCACCACCAACAGGAGCAGGAACCACGGCGGGTATTTCGTTATTCACGCGTCAGCACACACAGAGCAACGCCCACACACGAAAAAACAACCAGCGGGATGCAAAAGAGCACAACCGCCCCTCGCAGCAATAAAGCGCTGCCGCCGGTTGTTTAATTCTTGTCCCTCCAACGCACCCACTCGACCGCCGGCGCACATCACCCCGCGTAGCCGACAAATCCCACATCGGCCGATGAGCAGCAAAAGAGACACTTCGGCACGTGTCTCTGTTGAATGGAAAGCAATACGCACGTATCCCAGGCACCCTCAATGACACACCACCCAATCAGCTGCATGCCGCCAACACCGCGCCCGCAACATGGCAGAAAAATGAATTGCAGGCTTTTTTCCTCCTCGCAAAAGCCACCGCAGCCAGAATCTTGTGCGTACGTGCGTTTTCAGCGTTCACGCCGCTCCAAAGCATGTACGATGTGGCGTGTGTTTGTTTGTGTGTGTGTGTATTTACATGTGCTTGTGTGTTTGTCAGTGCCTATACTTGCAGAGCAGCTGTGCGGCACAAGAGCGTCCAAAAAAAGCAACGGCATAGAGAGAGGCAGATAGCACACACGCACTCCCACGGCGTCGGAACAGACGATGTTCTGGAAACCCAAATCGGCGGCTGTGGGCAGCTTGGTGCTGCAGTGGAGAAGGTTGCGGTGACGGACATTACCTTGTCAATCCAAATTGAAAGTAAATCTGCTTTTTTCCCTTGTGGCTACCGTCGGAATCGTTGTCCGCGGGATCGGCATAGCCGGGAGGAAAAACTAGGCGGTGAATAAGGAGGTTCTTCGTGAAGACACTCTCATCAGGGCGGTTCCTATAACTTCTCCGCAAAGACTTCGGTGGGCGCTGCTTGAGGACACCTTTACACCTCCAGCTGCTCGTGAGATCCGCCAGCAAAAATCGTTTTGCGACACCTCGTGGCCCGGGTGGAACAAATGGCCGCGCCGCAGGAGGGAACTTGGCCCGTGACGGCCTTTTTCCTCCCGCTCGCGGGGCGCTCCTTCGTCGTAAGGGCTTTTTCTTCCATTCTGCCTGGCCGCCGCGCTTCCCTCTTTTCCGCGTCTTCCCTCCTTGTTTCATTTCGCCGCGGCGCTTCTGCCCATGGGAGGCGCGGTGCCATCATGTCGGCCCCACTCCGTGTCAAACGCCGCCCTCTCATAGGAGGAGACGTGTGCTGCGCGTGTGTGCCTGGGCAGCGGGGACGTCTCGTCACCAGCCCACCACCTCCCAGAGACGCTGGTTGCAGGTGGCAATGCGATTGGGGCGGTCCAAATGCTTGGCATCAACTAAAATGAAAACGATGCTTTAGCAGTCTACTGTTGTTTTCCTCAAATGAATGCGGGAAAAACAAAATCCAAGTTACACCAAAGGAGCCTGAGAGAAATTCAGGGAGGTTCCTTGCAATTGTCAAGGCTTCAATGGACAAAGACAACATATTACTGCGCATGTTTTCTTTTCTCTTTTTTTACTGGTGTGCCATTGCCATTTGGGATCTTTTCACTGCGTGAATAACTTCCAATAACACTTTGTGGCGTCTCGGCTTTTGTCTCTCTCTTCAAATAGACGACCCCTTGATTGTCATGAAAACACACGCTGACGGAACTTGACCGACCCACGACACAGAGGGCAATGAGTCACATTTGTTGCGCATGCATCGCATAAGCAATAATGTCCACATGGAACGAGCACCGTTTCCTTGGGAGAAAGGCACACCACGCACCTCTCATGCTCATCCGTCTGTTTATCACCGTCACCATTTTCTAATCCATGACACAATCGCAGTGAGACTGCTGTCGCATGGCCTTTTGATGGTGAGCTGACGCCTTCTTCACCAAAACAAAGCGGAATTAAGCCTTCAGCTGAGAGTAACTGGCCCAGCTTCTTGACGACATCACAAAGTGAGGATGAAACTGGATGCCATGCTGCTAGCTCCGGCGTGTGACAACGTCCGGTAGCATCAACGTATTTGTGGTTGCTCGCTATCCTGCAGCCTTGTTCCGCGCTGAGGAGAAACGCCAGAGGAGGCTCAATGGGGTACAAGTGCGTCAGCCATATCTGCAAGGGCAAGACATAACGATGTGGTGGCGCCTGCTCACGGCTGTCTGGAGTTAAAGAAGTGTGGTCACTGTTGCTCTTCTTAATAGTAATAGGAAGCCCACCATAGATGCAAAGTTTTTCCTGTTGTGTCACTCCCCAAGTGGCGTCACGACAGTAGAAATGGAAGGTGTTACACAAATTCTCGACGTCATGAAGGATGCGGCCCAGAACTTCAGGCTTACAGTGTGGGGAACAACTAAAAAAGCGAGTAATAATTTCGTTCATGTTATGTTTGATTGTATGCTTTCCCCTAAAGGGCAGAAGGAAGCTTCTCAGGAAAGGGAGAATAAACCATGCAGTAATAATAAGGTTGTGGGGACTTCGTAGAAAGAAAGTCACAGTATCTTCTTTTCCAGTTTGCATTCCCATTCGTAAACTAAATACAAGGCCTCCCTCTCTCTCTTTCTCCATATATACAGTACAAAGGAAATAGCGGGGTGCGATGGAAAAGAGATTTCATCACTCATATAGATATTCAATTACAGAAAAAAGTCTCTCGCAGAAACCCGCATCTATGGGCAGGAGAAAAGAGATCGAAATTTACTCGGTGTGTAAAAAACGGCCTGAACTCACTTCAAAAGTGGTTTCTCCAGCGGGCTCCATGCGTGTGTCGCCTTTCATCGGCTGCATCGGCAGACAACGTGGATCCGCGCCTTGAAAAAGCCATGCTTCTGGTAATGGTCTATCAGGTCGGGAAAGAATAATTTTCCACACGCCACTTCCTCAAGCATGCGGCACGTGCAAGAATCCCAAGCTCGTATCGCCAAGACAAGTTCCATAAAACAACCATCCAAATCAATGGAACGCAATGTAAATTTCCAGAATCGAGTGCTAAATAGGTGTCCATTGCATTTCTGTTGCTTGTTCATCGTGTTTTTTTTTCCAAATAAATTTTATAACCCACAAGCCGGCCACCGTCTTCGAGCACGTCCGCCCTGCCGAGTGGGAACGTAAAAGGAGGTCCCGGCCCCGGAGAGGGCGTGAAACGCACACGATACGCCATGCCACCGAGCTAGCACGGTGGAACGATGATCCCCCGCAGCCGAGAAACAATGCAATAAGGAGCTACACAATTAAAGGTCTCTTGTTGAGTTCAACAACGTCGCTTTTTCATTTCCATATTTGTCGAAGAGAAAATTACACCCTCATGATCATAAATTCTAAAGCAAAAGCGGTTTTTACTCGAAATGATGGTGCCACTCTTTTTCAGGTGTTGGGCTAAGCATATCTTTTTCTACCTCCGGCATCCCGACAAAAGTATTTTGCCGTCAAGTTGAACATTTGTTCAACAGAACCGCTGTTCTCCCAATAAGCACACCGCACGGCGTGACGCCAGTTTGCGCAAACAGTTCTCCTTCCTAACACTGCGCCCCATCGAGCAAAACAGCGCCTCACGATAATATAAATAAATAAATAACAGAAAATAAACGAGCAAACGCCGACGTCTCGCACGCAATAAAAGCTCCGGCAACCAGGGAACAAACACCCCTTCAAAGGTGCTCGTATAGAAGCAAATAGCTATTAATCGCCTACCGCAGTTTGCTACAAGCCAAACGTCCCAGTGGCAGAACTAACAACCCACAACCGCTTATACAAAGCAATATTGGGCTGGGCTGCTGGCCGCAACCTGAAATGATCTAAATAAGTCAAACATGATGGATGAAAGGAAAAGTTAAATAGAGAAGCCGTGGGTTCGCCACCTCCTCATTGTCTGCTCCAAGAATATATATTCGGATTGCCACTCTCATGACACGTTGTACTTTGTTAGTAATAGAAATATTATAACTCACGAAGTGGCAAACTTTGGACTCCTCCTGTCACAAGACCCCGCCGCTCCCCTTCGCCAAGTCCTGAAGTGTAAACACGCGACCACGCGATATGCCGTCTGCGCGGTTTTCTGCTGACCGCACGTAAGCAAAGGATGCTTGTATCCCGCGAGACTCCAAAAACTCATGTTTTCTTTGCAGCTCCCACGCCAAGGCATGTGATTTTGAACTGCCTTTATTCGCCGCTCCTTGTGGCAAAGTATTGTCACCCAAATGTCCATAGTGAACCGAGAAATGGGAAAGCAACCAAAAACAAGCTGCGCACAGAGACTACCTCGGCCTGCATGATAACAAAAAGACTTCCTCTTCCATTTTCCTCCATTAATATTAGAGTTACAGGGATTTGAAGGAACAGAAAACTTATTCGACCATGAATAGAAGAATCAGTACTAACGGCACACGACACCTAAGCGCAATTAATGATACACTTAGGATTGTCCTCAATAATGTGTCTTAACGCCTCACCGTCACCTCACCCCACGAGGCACACAAATAATGTGCCCATTGTATATATTAATGCACACCCATGCAGGCCCGTTGGTGCTCTCTTTTGCAGCACACGCACCGCTGCCGTCCTGCCTGGCTGCATGGGCGGAGCACCGTAACTGTTTTTATTGCATTGAGTGGGCGACCTCTCTCTCTCCCTGTGTGTGTGTGTTTTGCTTTACGGGAGCAATGAGAGAGTTTGTGCGCTGGTCGTCCCACGCTTCGGCTTTGTTTTTGTCTATTTTATTGTTTTACTTGTGTTGTGACTGAGTGCACCCATTCCAGTTTTTTTTTTTTAATTGGTGGATTGCTTTGACTGTGGACGCCTAAATTGTCCTTTATTCGATACTCTTTTATACTGTTTCTTTCTTGTTGAGAGAGTGTCAGTCTTTTTTTTTTTCTTGTCACGCCACCAAGATGTTTTTTTCTTTGACATACGCCATGCATCATTTGATCCACGTTACCCCGCGGCTTGTGGCGCTGCTGCTGTTTGTGATGATGTCTGCGATGCGATTTGTCGGCGGATGTATTGCTCTCAGCCTGACGTATCCTTCGTTTCTTGACGATTTGTTGCGTACATACGGTGCGTGGGCGTCTCTGGTGACAGTGAGGGACGCGTGTCTCAGAGCGCAGGATGCGTCGCGAATGTACGGCGTCGTTTGTGAGGACCGATGGGTGACCATCCGCATCCAGGCATCATCAACGGACTGTGAGGGCAGCATAAGGCACTGCGGCTTCTTTTGGTGTTGCACAAAGAATTTATTGGACGGTGCGTTTGTTTTCAATCTTTTGGGGCTTTTGTGGGAGAAGGTGGGAGTTTGAGGGCATCAGGACTGAATTCATTCGAGTGGCTGCGTTCCGTTGACTTGCGGCCAGTCGTGGCACTCTTTTGGGGTTTGGCAGCTCATCTCTTTTGTTTACTTCCCACTGCAGCATGTGGACAACACTGATCCGAGGAACATTTGTTTGACGGCGTGTGAGCTGCTGCCGTGCGTGGTGTGTGGACTATGTGATTGTGTGGGGAGGTGCATTGGGGTGACGAACACTTCTGTTTGGCGTGTCGCGGTGTGTTGGAATGATGTTCGGATGGCATGTGGAGGGTGTTGTTTGTGATTTGTGTGTCTTCTCTGGTGGAGCCGACATGTGTGCGAGGATTGTGGCATTGCTGGCTGACAGCTCCACGTCACTTTTCGGCATTCCTGGATGTGCTGAGGGATGACGGCTGGCGACCAGCGTGTTGGTGCTGCCGGTGGGAATAAGTGCATCGGGAATAGGCCGTTTTCTCTTTTCCGTGCTGGAGCCGATGAACTGGCACGAGGGCACCGGCTGCAGGCTGCCTGCCAGTACGTGTGAGCAGCGGATCCATGCACACACCGACGCTCATCGCAAGAGCGTGTGCGATCACAGTGGCCTTTTGTGGCGTGCTTTTGTGGGCGTCAGCCCATCGAAGAATGTGTGAAGCAAACGGCTGACTGCACACGAGGAAAATAAGTGCGTGCACTGTGCCGTGTTTCAGCGTCGATGGCAGAGCGACAGGAGGCCCGTGCTGGCAACTGAGATCTTTGCGTCGCGAGGGATGTCGGTGTTGACTTTGGATCGTCGAGGGTGAAGTGATTTTGCTGCTGCCCGTGTGTGTGTGGCCACTCCGGCAGAGGGCGGACACAAAAGGGAGGGATGCAGGCGCTGCGTGTGTGTGTGTGCGGGTGCCATGCAACAACGTCACAACAAACATGCTGCGACTCGGTGACCCTCACATCGTTGTGGTCCTCACGAGCAGCCCAGGCACGGCCCACACCGATGCACTTAGTGGACGGAGTGAGGCATCTTTTGAGGCGCAGCAGGGAGCAGGATGTGTTGACGCAGCCACGACGTGCATAGAGTGTCACGATGGCACAGTCAGCTGTGGCTGGTGGAATATTTACTTTTCGAAGGCAACAGAGAGAGAGAGCTGCTCCTGCTGCTGGCGTCGTTGCTGCCTTTTGTGGCCTCCCATGCCGATTATTGTCTGTCCGCTGATCATGGGTGGCATGCCTCCACTAGTGGCGTCGTCTGCAGGCATTTCACAGCACCAGTGAAACACACACCACGTTGCATGCTTTGGCTGTGGATGTGGTGTCGTGAATGCAGCCGGCATTATTTTGCCCGACTCCTTTTCACTGCTTTGCGGCAAATAGATGCGTCTCCGCCCGAGCCATTCACTGCAGCTCCGTGTGTTGTACTGCCAGCACAAGACTCTTTTGTTGTCTGACGCCTGGCTGACAGTCAGACACCACTGCGTTGGGAAATGCAGGGATGTGGACTGCCGCTCACGGTGTTGGGCACCGCTGTTTGGATGCTGCGGCCACACGAGCGGATGTATTGTGGCACAATCAAATGCGTGAAATACGCGGAATCACAGCGGCTGCAATAATATCAGCAGTGTGGCACCACGGAATATGTGAGGGAGTGATGCACGATGAATCACGGTGGGCGGCATGCGAGGGAAGTGCACCGCGACGGAGCGTCATCCCGCCCTCAGCCTGCAGGGGAATGTACACCCACAAAATATATGGACGAGACACCACCAAACACACATGCCCTTCCATGCACCAACAAATAGGAGCGAAGGTGCGTTCTGGTGCGTGGGAGTCCACTCACATATTTTCATTTCCACCGCAATAAACGGTGAGGAATCAGGAGCCACAGCAACGAAAGGAAAAACAAGCATCTATTGCGGCACTTTACCAGCGAAGGCAGGAACAATACAAACCGAATTATTGGCTGCATCAACACAAGAAACAGCCACAAGGGGAAAAGTAAAAGAATTGTGCACCCTGCAGAAATCCCCAACACACGACCCAGGCATGAAGGCTTGCCCTCTGCAAAAACAAAAACAACGCATGCAGACATCTGCCAAAATCCAAACAGAAACGCAAATAAATTATTGCTTGCATTATTCCATTTCTTGCGCTTGTTTTTGCGTGTGCGGCTGCTGCTGCGGTTCCCGGGCGTGCATGAAGTGGTGTGCGCTGAATATGAACGAAGGCCAAAAGGCAACTGAATTGTTTTTGTGATGAATATTGGCTGCACTTCCCGTGGACCATCAATTCACGTGGTGTGCGGCGATCTTCTTTTTTTGTTACTTTGCTTTCGTGTTGCTGTGTGTGCGCTGCACCTTCTCTTGTGTGTGCGTGCCCTCCGTGAGGGGTGCAGACACGACGGACCGCTCTCGCCGTATGTGCATGCGGTGGAGCCTTGTGTGCCGCTCCTGTTTGCTTCTCCCTCCTCCATCTGTGTGTTGGTGTTGCGGCAGGGCTGTTTGTGTGTGTGTGCCTGTTGCCGTGGATTGGAGTGTGTGTCGTGCGTGGTGTGCGGCGTACGGTGCATGCCTGGCTGCTGCCCTCTCCTTATGTGGTGTGCCCTCTGTGTGTGTCTGCCGCACCTCTCGTCTCCCTGTTGCTCTCCATGTCCCTCACTGTGCAGATCAGCTCCACACCACTGAACGACCACACTCACGATGATGACGTGCCGTCTGCTGTGCGCCCTGTTGGTGCTTGCCCTGTGCTGCTGCCCGTCCGTGTGCGTGACAGCGGATGGTGAAAAAGTTGTTGATAACCCTGGAGAACACTCCGATCCAGCGAACTCTAAGCCAGAGGAAGTAAGTGAGATGACGCAATTGCCTAGTACTCTTCCTCTCCCGCCAGAGGCAAAAGAGGAAGGGGATGGGAGAGTAACAGCAGAGTCACAAATTAATCTCAACCAGGAACAGTATCAGGAAAAAGATGGGCAATCCACCAATGAAGAGGCGGATGGTGAAGAGACCGATAAGGCAAATGAACAAAATCTAATAACAAGTGCAATAAATACGACAACCACCACGACCACGACGACCACGACACAGCCACCAACTACAACGACCACGACAACACAGGCACCAAGCACTACGACTACAGAGGCGCCAACCACGACGACCACCCGCGCACCGTCACGTCTTCGTGAAATCGACGGCAGCCTCAGCAGCTCTGCGTGGGTGTGTGCCCCGCTGCTGCTCGCAGTATCCGCGCTGGCGTGCGCCACTCTGGGCTGAAGAGGTGTGTGCGGGCTGTGCGTGCCAGCACTCAGCCGCGGGGATTTGTGTGCGTCTACTGTTGTCCGATGTAAATAAATAAGAGAAAGTAATAATTGTGTTTTGCTTCATTTGCTTCCGCTGCCCTGCTGTGTGCTCCGTGTTGCTGCTCCCTGTATCCGTCACGTTGAACGCAACCCAGACACACTCATATGCAAAACACGCATACAACTGTTTGCGTAGATGCATGCTTGTGAGTGAGTGCATACACACTGGAGTCATTTGGGTGCATTTTTTTCTTTTGTGTGTTTTTGCTTTTTTTTTTATTGCTGATTTTTTACTTTAGTTTTGTTTTTCTTTGTTTTTGAGTTTTTATTGTTTTTAAATTATTACGGGGCTGCGTGTGTGTTTTCTGACCTTTATTGGGTTAATTTTTCCCATGAAATACGTGCTGCTGCTGCTGATGTTTTTTACTGTGCGGTGTCTTTTTTTTTTTTTTTTTGCTCTGCGTTGGCGGGGAGTTAGTTTGTGCTGAAGGCTGCACGCAAGTGACAGGAGTGATGGCGATGATGATGACTGGCCGTGTGCTGTTGGTGTGTGCCCTCTGCGTGCTGTGGTGCGGTGCCGGCGGCGGTGGTTTTGCAGACGAGGAAAAGGCAGCAGGCTCTGGGAGTGGTGCTGAACTTCCACCAGCTTCAAAACCAGTTGTAACGCCTCCAGTAGGCTCCCAAGGCTTACAAAATGGAGTAACAGTTGTTACAGAAGAAGTATCACTAATATCTTCCCCTCCTCAAGATGGGGATGCAGATGGTGATGATGATGATGAAGAGATGGAAGATGGAGAAACCGAAGAGAAAGAAGGAAAAAGAACAGCAGGGCAGAGTGCTCAAGGAGGAACAGTTGCACCAGGCTCAGATTCCAGGGAAGAGATTTTAAGTGGCAATGAGAAGAAAACAGGCCTGTCAATTTTATCTGCAGAGGGCATTTCTCCTTCCGGCAGTCGGGAATCAAATGCCGATGCCACGCAAACGGAATTTGAAAAAAAGAACACCGACGAAAAAAACCTGCAGTAGAGAAAGCACTCACAAGAGTTAACGGAGAGAACACACTGCCTGCTGGAATTGCGGGAGGAAATCCTTCACCAGCTCACGAAGACAGTGTTGATTCCCGCAAACAGGATGGCGAAGACACCACGAGTGGAGATAAAAAAATGTTCCGCCGCCTGCGACCGCAGCCACACCACAAAGCCACCGAGAAGGAGGCTCAGAAGGGACTGGGGAAGATACAAAAGCAACGACAGTAACCGCCAACACAACTGATACGACGAATACACAAAACAGTGACGGCAGCACCGCGGTCTCCCACACCACCTCCCCTCTTTTGCTTCTTCTCGTTGTTGTTGCGTGTGCGGCTGCTGCTGCGGTGGTGGCCGCGTGAGAGTGAGGGAGAGAGAGCCGTGCACCGCCCGCACACACACTCGTCCTTCTCTCTCACTCTCTGTGTGTGTCCCCTTGCATGGACTCTCGCCCTCACCTCACCCCACGAAGCACACACATAATGTGCCCATTGTATATATGCATGCACACCCATGCAGGCCCGTTGGTGCTCTCTTTTGCACCACACGCACCGCTGCCGTCCTGCCTGGCTGCATGGGCGGAGCACCGTAACTGTTTCTGTTTTGTTTTTATTGCATTGAGTGGGCGACCTCTCACTCTCTCTCTCTCCCTGTGTGTGTGTTTTGCTTTACGGGAGCAATGAGAGTGTGTGCGCTGGTCGTCACACGCTTCGGCTTTTTGTTTTGTTTTTCATTGTTTTGTGGTTGAGAGCACCCATTCCGCGGGCTGCGTGTGTGTGATGATATGAGTAATGTGCGTGTGTGCAATATCCGTTTCTCTCTGCCGTTGCTTTATTTGGACTCTCTTGTGCCGCACAGCTGCTCTGCGGGTATAGAGGCGCTGACAAACGCAGAAGCACAAGCACACACATACGCCATGTCGTTCATGCTGTAGAGCGGTGTGAAAGCTGAGAATGCACGCGCGCACAAGCTTCTGGCTGCAGCGGCTGTTGCGAGAAGGAAGGGCGTTCACACGCAACTTATTCCCTTGACGTGCTGCGGTTGTTACGTTGGAGTCCTGCAGCCGGTGAGTGGTGTGGCATTGGGGAGTGCATGGTACAAGTACGGATTACCTCCCGTCCAGCAGCTGCACGTGCCGATGTGTCTCCGACGCTGCGGATTGGCCGATGGGGATTCCCCGGCTGTGCGCCGGCGACAGAGAAGCGGGTGAGCTGGAGGGGACAACAGTAAAACGACCAGAATTAGCGCGTGGACTTTTCAAAGGACTGTCGTGCTCTCTTGCATCCCACCTGTTGTTTTGTGTGTGGGTGTTGCTAGGTGTGTGCTGACGCGTGAGTAACGACACACCCGCCGTGACTCCTGCTGCTGCTGGTGGTGGCAGTCGCTGTGTGTTCCCGGTGCACTGTTCTTCCTTCTTGTTCCGTGTGTCTGTGTGCGTGAGTTGTTGTTGTTGGGAGTGACTGCGGCGGGGATGATGGTGCCACTCACTGTGGATGATTGGCGGTGCTCACTGTTGTGCTTCTTTTGTGGGCATTTTTTCTCTTTCTCTCTTACGAAGAAAGAAAACAAGCGCTAATCGCCACTGTGAAATTCGAAGGCACTTAAAGGACCAACAGCACACACACCGCCCACACACACATATTTATATGCTCTCACGTGTTGCTGCAGTGAAGGCACCCCGCACACACAACCGTCACCGCGTGACCGGATCCAGCGGAAGGAGGAGGGAAGGGAGAGAGAGTGAGCCGCAGAGGCCCAACATATCCCGGCATCACTTTTATTCAGCGGTGCTGCTCCTCCTCGTCGTGATGATGTGCTGCAACGCTGGTGGGGCTGCGGCTGCTGAGGAACCAAGTCAGGGAGCTTCGTCGGGAAAATATTATGTTTGGAGAGACGTGAAAGATGGAGAAGAAACAGTGAGTTCGTTACGTGTTCCCAGTCTTTTGAAAGTGGGGAGTGATGTGTTTGCCGTTGCCGAGGCGCATTGCACGAAGAAGGGTGATGAAGGCAGTTTTACTGGGATTGCCTCGGAACTCCTGGAGTGGACTGATGAACAAACAAGCAAGGAGTTGGATAAAACTAAACTGAAGACACAAGTACTGGAGGAATGTACTTCCGAAGATAATAAAGGCGTCTGCAGCATGGCGAATCAGGCTGGTTCCCAAAAAGTGAAGAAAGTACATGTGGGCCGACCAACAACAGTTGTGAAGGGAAGTGATATTTACATGCTTGCTGGAAATTACAGTTGGACACTTACCGAGAATGACCAGGCAGGTGACTGGGGACTCATGCTGGTGAAAGGGAATGTCAGTAGGGAAGGAGAAAATAAAAGAATTTATTGGAATGATACTTACGTTATCCCGTGGTATTATAATGGCAATCAAGGATCACTGAAACGACTGGTTGGTAGCGGTGGATCGGGTGTTAAGATGAAGGACGGTACGCTTGTGTTTCCTATTGAAGGCACAAAAAAGGAAAAGAAGGATGATGGCACTGAAAAGGATGGAAAGACCGTTTCGCTGATCATTTACTCCTTTGAGGATATTGCGGGTTGGGTGCTGCCGAAGGGGATGTCTGCCGATGGCTGCAGTGATCCCTCCGTCGTGGAGTGGAAGGAAAAACTCGTGATGATGACTGCGTGTGATGATGGCCGCCGCAGGGTGTACGAGTCCGGTGACAAGGGGGAGTCGTGGACGGAGGCACTCGGGACACTCTCGCGCGTGTGGGGCAACAAAAAGGATAAAAAAGTGAAACCCGTTGGGAGCGGGTTCATCACAGCGAATGTTGGAGATGATAATAAAAAAGTGATGCTCATCACCCTGCCGGTGTATTCCAAGAAAGCTGAGTACGAAGTTAACCGAAAGGGTGAACTCCATCTTTGGCTGACGGACAACACGCACATTGTTGATATTGGGCCGGTATCCAATGATGACGTTACCGCCAGCTCCCTACTGTACAGAAGTGGAGATGATAATGAGGAGAAGTTGATTGCACTGTACGAGAAGGAGGGTAGTGACGACGTAACATCTCACAGTTTGCTCACTGTGCCTCTGAATAAGCAGCTGGAGAAGGTGAAGGAGGTGCTGAAGACATGGAAGGAAGTGGACGACACTGTTTCCAAGCTGTGCACCACTGAGAGTGTTGAGGAAGATCGCTCACCTAACACTGCCTGCAGCGTTGCCATGCCGACGGATGGGCTGGTTGGCTTTTTGTCTGGCAAATTCTCTGGGAACACATGGAGTGACGAGTACCTCGGGGTGGACGCCACGGTACATAATAATGATGATGGGGCAACAAAGGCCTCCGATGGGGTGACGTTCCGGGGAGCGTGGGCGGAGTGGCCTGTTGGCAGGCAGGGGGAGAATCAGCTGTACCACTTTGCGAACTACAAATTCACTCTTGTGGCGACGGTGTCCATCCACGGTGAGCCGAAGGAAGATACCCCCATTCCAGTGATGGGTGTGCGTCTGGACGGTGAAGGAGAAAACAAACTTATGGAGCTGTCATATGACAGTGAAAAGAAGTGGCGGGTGCTTTGCAGTGACGGCAAGATCAAGAAGCTCAAAAGTACTTGGGAGACATGGACACAGTACCAAGTGGCCATTGTGCTACAGAACGGCACCCAGGGCACCGCGTACGTCGATGGTAAGCGTGTGTGTGGGGATGTGCAACGTAGCTCGGATAATACGGAATTGAAAGGGATCTCACACTTCTACATTGGAGGGGATGGAAGCAGTGCAGGGAGCAAAGAAGACGTGCCTGTGACTGTGACGAACGTCCTGCTGTACAACCGTCCGTTGACTTTTTCAGGTGGGAATGCCGAGGTGGAAGAAGATGCCGATTCACCATCAGCGGAGCCTGCTTCTCCATTTGTGGCAAGGGATCAAAATGCGGCGCCTTCTGCAGGTGAACTTCCTGACGCTCCAGTGGGGCAAACGACCTCGCCGCAGCCTCAACAAGAACCTGAAACACAAAAAAATACGATGGTGCGGGAATCTGCCACTACACAGCAAGTGCCGGCGAATACATCGGAGGGAAGTGTGGAGAAGGCGGCGGCTTCGAACTCCCATGCCGCTGGAGAAGCAACAGGTGATGCCGGCACCATGCGTGGTAGCGAACTGCTGCCATCGCTGCTCCTTCTGTTGGGACTGTGGGGGTTTGCGGATCTTTGAGGAGTGACTGGCTGCCGCGTGGGACACTTGCGATCTCCGCTGCACCGACACACACACCTGGCAATGAATTTCTCTTCATAAATAACTTTTATTTATTAACATTCACTTTTTGCTTTATTTGCGTTAAGTTTTTTACATTTCTTTTTCTTTTGTTTTTTTCATCTCTCACTCCCTCATCCCTTCTCTTTTTTGCTTTTGAGGGCAATCAATATGGACGTTTTTTTTCTTTTCTACTCTTTTCAATTGTTTCCTGCTGCACTCTTCCTGTGAGGGGTGCCGTGTGTTTCCCGCCCAACTGCTCCACTCGCACACCCACCGACACGCTCATGACGACGGCCCTGTGCGCCTCGCCTGCTGCACGCATGAGGAGGGGCCGCGACGAACGGCGCGCTGAGGGAGCCGTGACGTGTGGGCGTGCGACGAGGGCCTGTGGGGCGGAGCACACATTTCTTTCCCTCTTGTTTTGTTTTCGGCCAGGGCGGGCAGACACCCGCAGCGCCACACACACAGCCACACCCTGCCGCCGTGTTTTCCTTTTTTGCTTTTCGTGTTCATTTCACGCGCCGGCAGTCCCTTCGCTGGCAGTCCCGTCAGCATTTCTCTCCCTTCTGATGATTTTTCTTTTGCTGCGCTCACTCTCCCGATGGAGTGACGCGACTGCCGTCATGTCTGCGTGCTTCTCTCAGTCCCCACACACACGAGTGACTGTGCTCTGCGGGCCGCACTCGCACGCCGATGAGAGGGCTGAGGGGAGCAGCAACACGCAGATGACCCCATGAAATATAAACGATGTTTGGACAAATGGAGGGTCAGACGGTTGAAGCACACGCAACCATCTTTTCGATTTTCTTTTCCGGGCAAAATATATACAGACAGTTTGGTGTGGCCACACGGCAGCCAGGCGATTTTTAAATTTGTGTGGAACAGTAATGGACGATATCTTTTTTATTTATAATTATTTTGTGTAATGAGGTTTATATAAGACGAAGGGGATGGTTTTCTTTTTAAATAAATCTTGTGTGAATTGCCGCTGCTTGGGCTGCAGTGCGGTCATGAGTTTGAGCGGTCTTCTTCTTGTTGTTTCCGCCATGCGTCTCTGCTGCACATTTTTGTTGTGCGTCTCTCCACATACTCTGCTCCCTCTTTTCTACTTCTTTGCTTTTTGTTTCTGCAGACACACACAACCACACACACAAGATGCACATTGCAGTGGATTTGAATGCTCCTTTTGTAGTGCATGCTGGCAGTTGCGTGTGGCGGCTGTTGTCCTCTTCCGTGGCTATGAGAAGAAGGGAGGAGGAGAGTGAGTGCGCAGCCCGAGTCTCTTTTCCTGCGGGTGTGGTGCACCGCTTGTGCCTTCGTTGCGTGGATGCCGTCTCGTGGTGTGTGAACTGTGCGGCTGGGCCTGCTGCCCTCTCCTCATGTTGTCTGCTCTCTCTCGCTGTATCCGCTGCACTTCGTCCCTCTCCCTTCTGTTCCATTCCTTTTCCTTCTGGCTCACGGATCAGCTGACTGACTCCAGCGACTCCACTACGGTTGACGATGACTGCGATGGTGACGATGGTGACGGTGCGGCTCCGTGTGGTGCGCGCCGTGCAGTTCATTGCGCTCTCGTGCTGCTGCTGCCCGTCCGTGTGCGTGACAGCAGGTGAAGAAGGTGTTGCAAGCCCCAGTCCACTTCTTCCTGTGCCAAGGAAACAAACTGAGGATGGCCCAAAGAATGCAGGCAAAAATAAAGTTAACGATAATGAAGACTCCAGTCTATCGTCTTTTGTTTCCTGAAGGAATAGGTGCGACAATTACGCATGACTGATCCACTGAGTCTGGCACGAGAGACGGAACACGTTTGAAGGACGAAACTTAACAGGTGGAAGATGCGAAGAACAAAACGGATCAGTCATCAAGTGATTCCATTACGGTGCACGAAGAGACCGTTTCCAGGAAGGAACAGCAAACAAGTGACACGGTTACCGCCCTCTCCACCAACGGAAGTAAGT